TGTTTAGACCAAAAGGACACTGTGAGGTAAATTTTCACAGGCAAACACCTTTCCTCTCTTCCTTTGTCTGAGATAATCATGACTTTATCGCAGTCATTTATCAGTCTTGAGTTGATTAACCCTCTCACTCTCTTGATCTCATTAACAGTTCTCCTTACTGTCTGAAATACAATTCTTACAATGTTAATTTGGAGAACTTGGTTTTGATCAACTTATAATCTAATTTTATTCTTATCACTTGTCTACTTGATATTTTTATTCACATTATAAGGAGAAATTCGGTCTTTATCACTCATGGGGGTTAAATGGTTAACATGGTATTTTGAATAAGACAAATTTAGCTGAATATCAGTTATCTAGAACCACGAGTTGTAGCTCTCACTATAGGCTGACAGAGTTGACAAGTGCTCCGAAATTGTGTTTTAGAATAAAATGACAGATGTAAATGGGAAGAGGAAAAGAAGCCCCCTTAAAGATGAGAAGGAAACAGGGACAACACCCAAGAAAAGCAGGAGAAGCTTACAGAGGAATGGTAAAGAAAAACCTGCAAAAGACCCTGGTTAGAGCAAAATTGATTTTTCTTGTATATGACTGAATGTTCTGCATACGTAAACTTGAGTCAATTTAATGAAAAACTAAAGAATAATTCAAGACTTCTTCCAGTTTCAAGATTATGACCTTGTGATTCAAGGGGAAAGCTTGACTTAAATGCTACAAGGAAACCCTTTGATGTTTTGTTAACACCACAAATTGTATTTTGATAATTTTTTTTCCTAAGAATTTGAGCTCACCAAATCATCAGTAAAATTCTCAGACATTGGGGGTTGTGATGACACTGTGGATCAAGTTTGTAAACTGCTGGTTCACATGAAGCATCCTGAAGTGTTCCGCACACTTGGAGTGACCCCGCCCAGAGGGTTCCTCCTTCATGGTCCTCCAGGATGTGGCAAGACATTACTAGCCCATGCTATTGCAGGGGTATGTTCATTTTTTTTTTAACTTTATGGCCAGTTTGGGTGTAGTGGTATTGATTCTGACAGCAGAGATCCATGAAAACTTAACCCTCAATTAACTATAATCAATAACTTACAAGTTCCATCATGCTACAGTTTAATATTGGCAATTCCAAAAAAAAAATCAGGTTTGGAAAGACATGTTTTGGTTCTAATGTTTCTTCACTGTACAATGCTTTTACATATGTTTGGCAATAAAAAGCCATAGGGGTCACTTAACCCTTTAACTCCTAGAGGTGATTAACATGTAACTTCTCCCTTTAATATCCATTCAGGTAATGAGAATACTCAAACTTATCAGGGAGAGATTGTTCTCTTGATCTAACACCAAATTCTTGTAACTAATTTAAAAGGGAATATGTAACAGCCAGAGGGGAGAATTAACAATTAGATCTTGGGAGTTAAATGGTTAATAGGCACTAGTATGGCTTAAAAGTGGTGAAAGAAGAATTACATATTAAAGTTCTGCAAATTCAAACTGCAGCATGTTGGTGCCATCACTTTCATTATTGAGAATTTATCATACTGTAACTTTCTACCTGCAGGAGTTGGAAATGCCTTTCATCAAACTGGCTGCCACAGAAATTGTGTCAGGAGTGTCAGGAGAATCAGAAGAGAAAGTCAGAGAGTTATTTTCACGAGCTGTGGTATGACAGGATTATGTTGAGCATGTAGTTCGGTTCTTTCTTATATGTTAAGTGAGAGATCCATTGTCATTGCTCCAGCTCAGTATATTGATTGAGGATGAAGAGTTGAAGAGTCCAACTTCAGTTGAGAGAGTGTGAAAGAGAATTTTTTTTCTCCTGTCCTAAATTCATTGTTTCCAGGATTTTCAACCATGCTGCTACTTAAGGTGCATAGAGTTTGTTTGCACCAACAGAAGATAGTTGATGCACCCTTTCAAAGAAGGTAGCAGAAATTTTGTGAAGCACTGTATTGTTGAGGAAAGGAGCTCTTGCAGCCTCCTCATAGCTTCTGTAACAGCTCTCTTGTATGGAGTGCATGAATAGGATGAATGTAAATTGTAGCCTAAATCTGTCATTTTTTTCTTAGGCCCATTCTCCATGTGTGTTATTTCTGGATGAAATAGACTCTATCACACCCAAAAGAGAAACAGCTTCCAAAGACATGGAACGAAGAATTGTGTCACAGCTTTTGACTTGCATGGATGGTTAGTCAAGTTAATAAATGATATTGATAAATCAATGCCATTTACCAATGAAAGCTCACACGTGTTAGACTGTTGACTGTTGCTGTTGATCTTTTTAACCTGAACTGTGGAGGGATAACATTCAGTTTTCTTTGATTTCCAGACTTGAACAGCAACTCAGATGTTCAAGTAATGGTTATAGGAGCAACCAACAGGCCGGATTCGCTTGATCCTGCACTGCGTCGTGCTGGTCGGTTTGACAGGGAAATCTCTATGGGCATACCTGATGAAAATGCAAGAGAAAGGTTTGTTACTTGATGCACTCTTTTCACTATCAGAATTTACTGTTTTACATGCAGTTATCAGTTGATTTCAAAATAGCTCACTTCCATTACATCCATTTTGTGAGTCTTTTGTTTTTGATTAAATCCTGGCTTACTCTCCACAGTCAATTGGAAATTGCTCTAAATTTTTTTAACTTGACTTGACATGCTACCTTTTCCTGCCAATCTCAAGTTACTTTCCCAAGTTAGTGGTATTCTCATTTTCTTGTTCTGTAGGATTTTGAGAGTTCTTTGCCAGAAGTTGAGGCTAGAGGAAAATTTTTGTTTTTCTGTGCTGGCTCGTCTTACTCCAGGATTTGTTGGTGCAGATCTTATGTCACTTGCAAGAGAAGCAGCCTTGATAGCGGTTAACAGGCATGATAACACATTAATGTAGCAATGCTTGTACAATAATGTTATAAAACTTTAGCAATGTTCTTATGATACATAATAGTAATAGGACCGAGTGGAGTCCAATCCTGTCCGTAATCATACGAGTGATTGACAAAATCGGACCACCGTGAAGCGGGAGTCCAATTTTTTAATCACGAGTATGATTACACACCGAATTGGACGACAAGAAGTCCTTTTACCAATTAATCAAAACTGTGACAAAATTTGAGAAAGAAACTAGACATCGGTTGTACGTTTTCATTAAAAAAAATCAACAGTTAACTCGGCGAAATGCGAGACAACAGCGCACACACATGAGGCGTTCTGTCCATTTACACAGGCATGACGTATTAACTGTCCCTATAATTGTCCTATCACACTGTCCAATTACAAGCATAACGCGTTCACTGTCCTATTAGAGCTCAAATCGGGCCGGTGATAACCAATCACTTTCGATAATTTATTTATAGTTTTGCTAAAGCAGGAAACTGTAGGTTAGCTTTTCCCTTTACACCCTAACATCAGTATGCGTATTCTCCATACTGTTCTCTATAAATTTCCTGTGGTGCTGAAAAGGAGAATTCATTTGATTAACAATGCTTCAAACGTATACCGTAAGTGGCTCCTTTTCATCTTCTTGAGTAGTTTATGGCATCTTAGTTAGGAATCTTCTTTGCCCCTTCTTCCAGCCTAGATTGTTGTGTGAACTGAAAAAAAACGGGAAAAATTGACACATTTCATTTAACTTTCACGACAAATTGAACCAGCAAAAATACGTTGCCTGTAGTTTACCCTGAACTTGAGTCCTTTGGTGCTCACAGGATATTTCAAGAACTTGAAAGGAACGCAGAAAACAAGCGTGAAAAAAATGAGACAATGGCGACCACTGAACAACAGAAAGAGTCTGACGGGTTACAGGATATAAGGGAATCCTCTGATACTGTTCCTAGGTCATTCAGTGGTAAGTTTAATACTTTAGGAACCTTAAGCAGTCAACACGGCAACACGGGGGGGAAATTTCGTGGTAAAAACCTGTGAAAAGATTCACCTAAAAGATGCCCTGTAAATCTCTGAATAGTTCTTATCTCAAAGATGACGACAGACCAGGTTTCAATACTGAATGTCGTAAGTAATCTGGAATTACGTTGGTTTTGCTTCACGATTGGTTGAGAAAAATCACGCCACCCCCTCAACCAATCAGATTCAAAGCGAAAACCAACCGCGTTTGGTCACTTGCAATTTCCCGCCCATTTTTACTGTAAATTTTCATTGGCTTGTTGTGATAGTTTCCTTAGTTGTGATTGGCCATCGTGACTACTTTGGTTTTTATGACACTCATCCGGTAGGCGCTCAAATTGGTTGCATTTGGTTTCTCTTTCTTGTTGCAGTGACTGAATGGCTAAAAGAGCAATCACCGCTGACAGAGGATGAGCTAGAGAAGCTTTGTATTAACATGGATGATTTCAAGGTACTGGATATGTTTTCCCGCGCTTCAAGCAGTTCCCTTGTTTTCACTTTGAGTTTACATTGGCAGATGATAATGTTAACTTTTGTCCTGATTGATCGCTGATTTTTTCTTTGGTTTTGGTTTTGGTTTTTCCACACTCCGTTGAAAACCGCTTTAATTCAACTAGCTAAGTGTTTTTTTCTGTTTCTCAAAAATATTCCGTACTTGAATGACTGTAGATATATGTGAACTGCCGTTTGAGAAATGAATATGAGAGCGATCTTCGCAGTAATGAACCCTACTTAAGCGGTAGTGAAAATAAGGCCTGAAAAAAATCAGGCCTGTACGAGATTTGAACCCATGACCCCTACGTTACCGGTGCAGTGCTCTACCTACTGAGCTAACAAACCAACTTGGAGCTGGTCACTATGTTGGTTCTTAAAAACCCTTGAAGTGATGAATAAATGACTGTTGATATACAAATCATGTATTCCTTATTTGATAGACAGCCTTGTCTCAAGTCCAGCCTTCAGCAAAGAGAGAAGGATTTGCCACCATACCTGGAGTGACATGGGAAGATGTTGGAGCACTCAAAGATGTCAGAGAGGAGCTTACTATGGCTATTCTGGTAAGCACGCCTTGCACTTACCCTTAAGCCGATTCCCGTCAAGCCTGAATTTATTCTTTCTGAAACTTCTTAACCCTTTGCCCCTACGAATGACCACAAGGTAAATTCTCCTTACAATATCACGCCCGAGTCTCACATAAAGGTCGCGAGATTAAAGGAAATGATCACCCGCTAAAGAACCTCTTGATTGTGAAACAAATTCTCCCTGTCAGCTCCTTGGGAAATGTAAAGAGGGCAGAATGGAGAATTTACATACTGATGTTAGGGTGTAAAGGATTAAACTTCCGCTAACCTGTGAGGATAACTTCTGCGCTTGTAAAATCATCGTTTAAAATATAATCTCTTTCAGGTAATTGTAACAGCTGGCCTTGTGGTATCAATAAAAGAATTTTAAGTTAACTGACTGAAAACACAAGCGTTTTCGGTTTAGTTTTCTGGGTTACAATATATAATTTTATTGACTTCCCATTCTGTCAGGCTCCAGTGAAATATCCAGGAGAATTCCAAGCGCTCGGTCTGACTCAACCCCCGGGGATTCTACTGGCTGGACCACCAGGCTGTGGTAAAACTCTTCTAGCAAAGGTACACAAAACGAAGAGCTTATGATTAGCCCGCAGTAATTCAAGTAAGAGAGTCAGGCAGTGTCATTTCTTTGTATTCTTCTTTGGCTTCTTAATTTGGTGTTTCTTCGTCCGCCTCCTTTCTTAGCTTATTTGTCTGCCACTATTTCTGTCCCTTCGTCCGTTTCGGAAAACGGTCAGAATGACCGACAGATACACAGAGACAGACGTACAAACAGACATAAACAGATAGACGGATAGACGGACACAAATAGACAAACAGATGAGACAGTCGGACACACACGCATATAGACCGACAGGCTTAGATAGACAGGCAGACAGACAGATACAGATAGATATAGACAGACAGACTGACATCAGTTTTCAGCTGAGTGATTGTAAACAAAAAACAAATCACCAATTGTGCGAAATGATTTTAAATCGGTGCCTAAATATGTAATCTTTTGATTTGCCATCCTTAACGGTCCGTATTTTCCTTGTCGTTCAGGCGATAGCAAATGAGTCCGGCATCAATTTTATCTCCGTCAAAGGACCAGAACTTCTTAGCATGGTATGTTGAGACTATTGGGTGACAAATAGATCGAATTTTGTTCGATGGCATTTGTAAAGCCCACGCGACGTTTCATTGTTGTGTCGGGTACCGATCAATGCCCACAGAAAACAGTCATTTACTCTTACACAGAGATACCGACAGGATAAACCGTTGGTTCACAGAAGAATGACAATATTCTCTTCAGTACTTTTGTATTTTTAGTGATGTTTGCTGAGTACTGTTTATAAATTTTTATGGCTCAGCTAAGGTTTTTTTTAATAGTTAATAATAATAGTAATAATAATAATACTTATATAGCGCCAATATCAATATTGCTATTTTCAGCGTTTAATAGTTCCATGGAAAGTTTCAGTTCACAACGAGTAATGATGTATATTTTATATGATATACGGATTAAAAATCAAACAATGTAGTAATCCTCGCTAGCGGGCTGTAATTTCAGCCATTGCACAAAAAAACCTTGAAAAAAATTTAGGCTTTGACGGGATTCGAACTCAGGCGTCCCAGATGATAGTTGGGCGCTACCACCAACTGAGCTTCAAAGCTACATGTTGGGAGCGGGACACATTTTAGAGGGTTCGTCTTTCTAGCGGAGAAATCAGATCACAATTTTTAATTAAATAAATGTCATTTGAGCCGCAATTTTAGCAATTGCAACTCACTTAGGAGGATTATTGCTTTAATAGAGTTTAAATTTTGTTTACATGTCGCCCATGAAATTCGGTGATACTTTTGTCAGTTTTGAACTTGTCATTCTTAAGAATTGAATTTCCCAAAGTGACTTCAATTTATTGTTTATTTGTTTGTTTCGTACATTATCTTAGTATGTTGGTGAAAGTGAGCGAGCCGTTAGACAAGTGTTCCAAAGAGCTAGGAATTCTTCGCCGTGTGTAATCTTCTTCGATGAACTGGATGCACTCTGCCCTAGGAGATCCGACAGTGCAGAGGTAACGTAATAATCTGGAGCTCAATGCAAAAGAAAAATCAAAAATCAAATCAAAGTTAAAGGTAACGTCAGCTTACGAGCCAGAAGTCTTATCTTACCATATCATGGTTTCCCTAGCATTACGAGTATTTATTTTTTCGTCTTAGAATTTGGGACACAACCGCCAGGAGTGAAAAGGCGACTTTACAACTCTGTGCACTTTCTCTCTTTTTTATATCACATTTCTACAAATTCAAATGTGACATTTATATGTTAACTGTCCCAACATCTTCCAACATCCAAAAATGTTGCTACAAAAATTTGACCAGTTTCAAACTTGATCCGACATCATCCAACCTCATGTAACAAGTTGCTACAGGGCGGCCAAACGTGTGCAACACGTTGCTACAGGGTGACCAAACGTGTGCAACACGTTGCTACAGGTTGGTCAAACGTGTGCAACACGTTGCGCGCAAACGGGGCGAAGCTCTCGACCCAGCTTCTTACCGCTCTTTTAGCTACGCGCGCCGTTGTCAACTGACGTTTCCGTCCTCTTGCTTAATCACCCTAATGTTGGATGATGTTGCGTTGAAAATGGTGCGTGCGTTTGGCCGGGCATTAACATTTTCTCGTTACGGTTTCTAGTCTAGTGTAAACGTACGAGTCGTCAATCAGCTGCTGACTGAGATGGATGGTCTGGAGGCCAGGAAACAAGTATTCATCATGGGAGCTACAAACCGACCAGGTGAAACAAGTCTGTTAGTTGCTTAACCCTTTAACCCCTGGGAGTGACTAGCATCTAATTTCTCCTTACAATATCACCCTTGAATCAAACATTAAGGTCATGAGAATAAAGGAAATGATCACCAAATGAAGAAGCTCTTGATTATTAAACGAATTCTCTTTGTCAGCACCTTGGGAAATTTATAGTAATTAGTATGGAGAATATGTGTACCGATGTTATGGGGTAGCGGGTCAATGAACTTTGGAAACCTTGAAATGTGGCAATGTTCAATGGAGTGTTGGAGGCACTCCAGGGTTACAGTAGTCGAGCTTTTTCGACGCTCTGCGATTGGTAACTGAAGAAAACTTGTGTGCCCGTTTTCTGCCAAGTGAAGCCTATTTCGGTTTAATCACTTGCGTTTTGTCGCTCTTTTCGCCGGTCATGTGAATTCGCTTCGAGTTCTTGTTGTTTCCTTTCCTTTGGTTCTTGGTTCTTATTGATCGTTGTTGTCACTGCGGTTTTAGTTTTTCGAACCCCAATCGAGAAGCACTTTAGAAGGAACTGACACCTGTTTAGTAATATTCTAATCTTCTGTTCATTTTTTGATAGATATCATCGACCCGGCTGTGCTGAGACCGGGACGACTTGATAAAGTTCTGTATGTTGGTCTTCCGGACACAGACGACAGAGAAGACATCCTCAGAACACTCACCAAGGTAGGTGCATTCCCATTACACATCTCAGTATGAAACCAAATTGACCCAAGCAAGTTCTCTCGAAGTAAAACTTTTGTTTACTATTGACTTCAGAAAGAAAAATTGTCAACGACACTTTTCGAGAAAAATTTGACAAGTGTTTTACTTCGCTCTGGGATGAGAAAAATTCCGCCATTTTAGTTTGGTGTTCTTATGGTCTCAAGCGTGAGCCCGCGAAAGTTCCTGCCATGCGCATCTGTTTTTCAGCTCTATTTCTGGGATTTGTTTCAGAAACTCGCGCCACCCTCTCTTGACCAATCATATTCAAAACTGAAATTAATCGCGACTTAGTCACTCTCGTTTATTTCTCATAGTGTTGCCTGTTGTGATTACTTTGAGTTTGGTTTTATAATGAGTTTTATGTTTTCCTCACTGACCTCTTTAGGATGGGAAGAAACCATTGCTTCTGCCTGATGTTAGTATCCGAGATCTTGCACAGGATGAAAGATGCGAAGGCCTTTCGTAAGTATAGTAAAAACCACGCGTCTTGCAGTGCTAATAATGACTGCATGCACGCACGCTAACAGCGCCGGTTTCCAAGTACGAATTGAAATGGACGCCGGTGAAACGTTAGGAGTACTCAGTTATAGAAGTGGGGTAACGCGCCATGGATCAATGGTTCGTCCGGGGAAGCATATGAAGTATTACGAGCCAAGGACTCGTGTGTCCTCTCTCTCGCGCGTTTTACCTGAGTTCTCGTTAAGTGCGTGCCACGTTGGTTAAGTTTCCAAACCGTTTCGCTTATGGCATCAATCTTTTCACTCTCTGCAGTGATTAACTTCAGTTCTTGCGAACTAGAACAGAATTCATTGTATTCAGTCTTCTTCAAAAAGTGTCAATAATCCTATACTGACAATTCTCTCTTCCAGGGGAGCTGATTTAGCGGCATTGGTGCGCGAAGCTTGTATGGTAGCTCTACGAGAACGAATCCACGTGCACTCCACTGGTCACGAGTCTATTGAGAATCAACCTCCCCCGGAACAAAGCCCCTTAGGGGTGGGTAAGAGGCATTTTTTGGCGGCCTTTCAGAAAGTGAAGCCGTCAGTGAGCAAGAAGGTAAGGAGAGATACTTTACAAGATTACTTCGGAAAACCTTGCCATCCCAGTTGGTGTTCCCACGAAATGAGTATCATCGTAAAGAAAGATTTTTTTCAAATAAGTCGTGAGGTCAAAACCATATTGGTCGGTAGTAATGTCGTGAATCAAGTGTGAAAAAAGATCTCTTTTCTCAGCGACGGGTCAAAATCAGTTAAAGGCGTGGAGCCTTCGGCTAGATATGCGAAAAACGTATCATTGATTTTAAGAGTGCTCTCTTTTGCATAAGAATTCTAGATATACCTTCTCCTGTGCTTGTCGCTTTTGATGACGTATTGTCTCGCATTTGCATTTCTCTCTACAATATCTTCCCTGAATCACACGTTAAGGTCATGAGAATAAAGGAAATGATCACCAACGAAAGAAACTTTTGATTGGTAAACAAATTCTCCTTGTCAGCACCTTAGGAAATGTATAAAGAACAGTATGAAGAATATGCATACTGATGCTAGGGTGTAAAGGGTTAACCTTGATTTTGATTTCTTCTAAATAGGATCAAGCTTTGTACGGAAAAATGAGGACATTGCCAACGACCGGACAACTGGTCTGAAAGCGCCAGTAAGGGGAGACAGGGAAATATTCTGAGAAATCTGACATCATTTGATTTAATATAATACACAATTGAATTTGAAAAGTGACTCAAGAAAAATAAAGATTACTCGAGAACTCCTTAGTTCTCAAGTTGTATTTATGCTTGCAAGTTTCCGCCTAAATGTTTTACCCTTATAAGCTTAGAGAAACAATTCCATACTTTTTTCCTTTCTAAAAGTCGCCTCGTCGAAAAACTGATCTGCCTTTTTTTATCAATAAAGTTTTTTGCAGAAATATTTGATTTATCTTAAACCAGTGCAATTGAAAAGGTTTGCATGCTAAGGTAGAGGCCACTTGAATTTGTTTAATAGGTTCCTCTGGGCGCGCTCTACTCGTAAGCTTTATTATTTGTCCTAGTAAATGGGGTGAGTTTTTTAAAGAATCTGTGGTGTGGCGTTTGTGGTGACGAGGGGATTGGGTATTGCAAGGTAGTTTGGTTTTATGAACTGAATTTATGATATAAATTGGCCTCGGTATCGAACAACGCTTTTAATTCAACTAATTTATTCACGTTACCGTGTTCCCACCAATAGCGTAGCTTTGCCTTTCTGTTTAGAAACCAGAAACAACCCATAATTCCTTAATAAACTCTGACGAAGGGCTAGCGTTGGAAAGGTCCTCTGTAGAATCTCTTTACGGTGGCCAATTCACATTATCAAGTCACTTGATGCAAGTATTTTATCTTCACCTTAAAAGAACCTCTTTAAGATCCAATGCAGATGAAGTAAAGGCGGCTTGAATTTGTGAGGTACGTCTCTGACGCATACAAGAAAATTTGAACTTTTCATTAGCCTTTCCTAAGGGAGTTTCATGGCTTTGTCTGGATTAGCAAGCGGTGGATTCGCTCTTAACCCTGTAACCCCTGCGGATGCCTGATTGAATCTAACAGTAAGATCCAGAGAATCAAAGAAAGCATCGCCAACAAAAGAAGCCATTAATTAAGAATTTGAAGAAAACGACAAAACTTTTGAATTTGTAAAATATGGTTCGACAGAAACTTCTGTCATCTTCAGTTAATTAATGTACAAAGCGCTGGAAGTTGAATTTATAATAAGTAGAGAAATGCTAATTATGATAAATAGTGACACCAAGAAAGAAACAAAGCATGAAAGTATGAGAATTTAAAGGGTAGTTTTAGATTTACTTGATGTAATTGTGGTTTCAAAGAGAGTTGTTCTCTTTCTTGGATGTCCTGCTTGATAACAATGAGCCCAATTCTTCTCTAACCAGTGTTTACCGCAAGAAAACTTTCACTGGGTTATTAACTAATTATTTCAGCTTCACCACGCACTCTTACAAGGTAGGTCTCCTTAAGATTCTCGTTGACAGGGCCTACAAGATTAATAACACCTGGTTAGGATTTCATGAGGACATTACTAAGCTTATGGATATTCGAAAAAAGAATATTTTCCCTACTCATTTAATCAAGAAGATTATAAACCGTTACATCACCGGGACCCAAAGCAATCATCATCCCCGTGGTTCCCTTCCCACCAACTACTCTACATAGACCATTTTTCTGCTATCACCCGGAAAAAGATTCGCTATTTTATCAAGCGCTACTGCAATGACTTGGATATCAAGTTAGTTTTCTCTTCTTTCAAGATTGGTAACTTGTTTGGTGTGAAGACACTGTCCCTGACGGGCACCTTTCACGTGTGGTTTACAAGTGTGTAGGTGCTGGCTGTAATGCCTGTTACGTCGGCGAAACGTGCCGGCATTTTTCCACGCGTGTTAGACAGCACTTAGACAGTGACAGGGCCTCTCACATTTCGAAACATCTGCAAGATTCTGAATATTGTCGCGCTTTGTGTTCAGCAGAGAGCATCTCTGTTTTGGATCACGCCTCTATCGGTTTTCAACTTAAGATAAAAGAGGCTATACATATTCAAAGGAACAACCCTCTTTGAATCAACAGTTACATCATGTAAATCCAACACCATCCTTTTAATTCTCACACTTTCATGTTTTGCCTCTCTCTTGTTTTCACCATTTATCATAATTAGCATTGTTTTACTTATTATAAATTCAACTTCTAAAGCTTTGTACATTAATTAACTGAAGATGACAGAAGTTTCTGTCCAAACATGTTTTACAAACTCAAAAGTTTTGTCGTTTTCTACAAATTCTTGACTTGCCTGCTACTATCAAGACCCTTTGGAAGCCATTTTCTCCTTGTCAATGCCATGTTAAATGTCTAGGAAACAGCATGGAACTGAACACGCAAAGTAAAGTTGAGGTGTTAAGGGTTAATTGATTCAGACGCTGAACTTTTTTAGGATCTGGCTAAAGAAGTGTTTGGTTTTCTGAATGGGGCCTTACAATGAATGAGAAAAGAAAATATAAGATGGGATTAGAGGAGACGCTGGGGATTAAAGATGTTTTGTCTATTGATTGGAATCTTTTTTTTTTGTTATGTAATTATAAGACGAAGGCGAAGTGAATATTGTTAAATATCACCCGAGACGGAGTCGAGGGGACTATTCAACAGTGTTATGAGCCTGTGGCGAATAATTGTTTTCGTATAATTGCTCAGGTGCTTTCGAATTCTGTAAATAGGGAAAGCATTTAGCATCTTTTTTCCCATTGCGTCGATTACTCGTATCAAAATGAACAAGCAGTTTTAACATGTTTCTTTAATTCAGTGGGCAAAAACTTCGTATCTTTATTTTGGAAAGTGATTTCACCAAACTCAGCAGCATCTTTTTTGCTCATTGCAATTGATTCTTCTATTGCGTTTATCATTTCCTCGGAAACGCAGCCATTTTGAAATAAAGTGCTCCAAGATCACCTTGTGGGAGGTAATTTAAGCAAGACATGATGCTATCCTCGACCTCAGAGCGCACGCATCTCTTTAATCACGGGAGCAATTACTAATACTTTTTAAAGGGGGTAACTTTCTAAACAGATTCGGACTCCCATTCTGCTGGTGAAAAAGACCATGGGTGGCTGCTGTGTCTCTTCCCCATGCCCCGCATTACCGTAGTAACCGTGACTGACTGGCACAAAAAGGCATTCGTCGCTTCTGATTGGTTCGCTTAGGAGAATTTTGCCTTCATCTAGGCACGAAACTGTAAACCATGCATTTCCGACATGTGCGTTTGTATACGTGAAAGTGAAGTAGCCTTGAGGATGTGAACGTATTAACGCAATGCTAGTGTTTGATTGGCTTTCAGAACTGCGATCGTCGTTGTTTGTTACGAGTTCAAGCTAAAGTTGTAACCAGCACGGCTTGTAATGGCTTTGGATTTCGTAGCGGGATGCCTTGGAGGTTAGATCATCTTTCCATACCTTCATGTTTCCTTGCTTTCTCCATAGGAGGTAGTAAACATTGCCTATTGTTATAAATTTCAAAATTGTTGTTTCTTTCCTTCAGGATGGTCCGGCATAGTAGTGGGACATCCCTTCGACACAGTCAAAGTAAGAAAACGCCGCATTCTAAATACAGTACAACGTTCAATTTGTTCAACCACCCTTTTTAAGACAGAATCACGCATCTATTTTATCGAAGGTTAGATCTTCAGACAGCTCAGTTGTTTATGTTTTTTTTCCAGGTTCGACTTCAAACGCAAGTATCGAAACGATACGTCGGGACTATCAACTGTTTTACGCAAATTGTAAAACAAGAAACGGTTAGTAGCGGTAATATATTTGATAGTTCGAGAATTTTTGCTATAATAATGACAAACTGGGCGTTAAGCTTTTCAAGTTAATTTTTCGTCAGCCAAGAACCTGAGGGTAGACCCTGTCCGTTTTTGGTTTGTAATTTATCATCTAGACAGGTAAATGACACATGATATCGTGATGTAAATTATTTAAATGGAGTGGCAAATATACTGGCGAAACTTTTGATATTTGGCAATTGAATTAAGACAATTGACAAACCGAAAGACGCAAATTAAATGAATAATTATATTTTCAAACGTTTGTTTTCAAATTACTTAGAAATTTACACATTATGTTTGAAATCCAGGAATGGGCTGATTACGACAGACATTTCTTTTAAACCCCACAAGACTGATGAGCATCTAATTTCTCCTTAGTGTATGACTTTTAATTGAAACAATCAAGTAATGAGAATGAAGGAGTTTACCGCCTAAGAAGCTCTTGATTGTTTAATAAATTCTCCTCAGTAGAACTATAAGAAATGTGAAGAAATTAGTGTGAAGAATATGTATACTGATGTAAAGGTGTAAAGGATTGAATTAGAGACTTCTTGTGAGGCCATCAGCAGTTCTCACCTGTGTAACTTTTTGTGCAGTCATTTTCAAGAGCTGGTCAAAATTGCTGGTTAGTCTGCCATCTTAAGGTGGATACTTTCACATCAGTTTACCACAGGTGCTGATGAAAAAGTTATTAAAATATCAATGAAGAATTTATGTTGAGGCCATATCCCAGTGTTAACTGGGATTAAATGCATAATTTATCAGTGACATTACCTGTGTGACAGGAAAACTGAAAATCTCTCTTGTAGTATACAAGGTTTCAAGGAAATCTTGAGGATTTCACAAACTGATAGAAAAAATTAACAGATCAGGTATATTTCAGGGGGCAAATCATGTTCTTGCTAGTTCATAAATTCTGTAAAATTGACACGTCACACATAAGGTTTGGCCTCAATCACACGTCGCACATAATTCGTTTTCCACTCCTCTTTCAGAACTGACTTGAAGGCTCATGCAAACTTTGCAGAATGCCAGGGACATTTAACTTGGATGAATAGTTCTAAGTCTTAGGTGAAATCTGATGAATCAACTGAGTGTCCACAATAACCTGGTCACCCATTATCTGCAATTTGGTTGTGACTTTCAAACTTGTTGTCAGCCCTACATCTGGGGGTTTTATTTAGGGAAATGTTTCTTCAATGGTAGGTTTTAATCTATTTAATGTGATAACTCCTGTTGAAATTTGTTTGCCTCTTGACACAGGTGTTTGGTTTGTACAA